GTGGCTGACATCCTTGTCTATGTCAGATATGAGGATGAGAAACAAGATGGGAGCGAGTACTGTGCCTTGTGGAACAGAGCTTTTCACTGTAGCCACCTCAGACTTTACTCTGTTGACTACTATTCTTTGTGTTCTGTTTGTGAGGAAATTATAGATCCATCTACCAACTTTTCCTGTTATTCCTTTTGCACACATTTTGTGCGCTATTACACCATGGTCACACTTGTCGAAGGCTTTTGCAAAGTCTGTATATATTACATCTGCATTCTTTTTGTCTTCAAGTGCATCTAGGACCTTGTCGTAGTGATCCAGTAGCTGAGAAAGACAGGAGCGACCTGCTCTAAACCCATGTTGCCCTGGGTTGTGTAATTGATGGGTATCTAGATGGGTGGCGATCTTGCTTCTTAGGCCCCTTTCAAAGATTTTTATGATATGGGATGTTAGTGCTATCGGTCTGTAGTTCTTTGCTATTGCTTTACTGCCACCTTTGTGGAGTGGGGCTATGTCTGTTGTTTTTAGTAACTGTGGGACGACCCCCGTGTCCATGCTCCCTCTCCACAGGATGGTAAAAGCTCGTGATGGGGGCTTCTGCTAGACTCAAATTTTCGGCAGTCTGTTTAATACTCAAATCAGCAAGTTTTCTAAGAGCTACAATACTTGCACCCTTCCTAGGTGGAACAACCATCATGAATTTCACCAGCAGTATGAACAGAAGGGGAGAATTTGAGGAAAGCACATTCACACACTGAGGACGCCTGCAGGATTAGCCTTACAGAACAACAACTGAGTCGCAGGGTAACACCACAGCTGGATGGGTGCCAGAAGTCAGAAGCAAACTTCTGAAAAGAACCCGAACTAAATTATATTCCAAGACAATAGTAAATGACCAAGGCAGGTGTAAATGTCTACCTGTCAATGTATTTGTGATAATTTAAGTACAATTTCAGTACCTAAAACTAGCGTCAGAACAAAGATTGGTTATGAAATGACAAGAACTACTATAAATTGTAATTATTTTTTTTATTATTATCACACTGGCCGATTCCCACCAAGGCAGGGTGGCCCGAAAAAGAAAAACTTTCACCATCATTCACTCCATCACTCTTGCCAGAAGGGTGCTTTACACTACAGTTTTTAAACTGCAACATTAACACCCCTCCTTCAGAGTGCAGGCACTGTACTTCCCATCTCCAGGACTCAAGTCCGGCCTTCCGGTTTCCCTGAACCCCTTCATAAATGTTACTTTGCTCACACTCCAACAGCACGTCAAGTATTAAAAACCATTTGTCTCCATTCACTCCTATCAAACACGCTCACGCATGCCTGCTGGAAGTCCAAGCCCCTCGCACACAAAACCTCCTTTACCCCCTCCCTCCAACCTTTCCTAGGCCGACCCCTACCCCGCCTTCCTTCCACTACAGACTGATAAACTCTTGAAGTTATTCTGTTTCGCTCCATTCTCTCCACATGTCCGAACCACCTCAACAACCCTTCCTCAGCCCTCTGGACAACAGTTTTGGTAATCCCGCACCTCTTCCTAACTTCCAAACTACGAATTCTCTGCATTATATTCACACCACACATTGCTCTCAGACATGACATCACTGCCTCCAGCCTTCTCCTCGCTGCAACATTCATCACCCATGCTTCACACCCATATAAGAGCGTTGGTAAAACTATACTCTCATACATTCCCCTCTTTGCCTCCAAGGACAAAGTTCTTTGTCTCCAGAGACTCCTAAGTGCACCACTCACCCTTTTCCCCTCATCAATTCTATGATTCACCTCATCTTTCATAAACCCATCCGCTGACACGTCCACTCCCAAATATCTGAATACATTCACCTCCTCCATACTCTCTCCCTCCAATCTGATATCCAATCTTTCATCACCTAATCTTTTTGTTATCCTCATAACCTTACTCTTTCCTGTATTCACTTTCAATTTTCTTCTTTTGCACACCCTACCAAATTCATCCACCAATCTCTGCAACTTCTCTTCAGAATCTCCCAAGAGCACAGTGTCATCAGCAAAGAGCAACTGTGACAACTCCCACTTTATGTGTGATTCTTTATCTTTTAACCCCACACCTCTTGCCAAGACCCTCGCATTTACTTCTCTTACAACCCCATCCATAAATATATTAAACAACCACGGTGACATCCCACATCCTTGTCTAAGGCCTACTTTTACTGGGGAAATAATTTCCCTCTTTCCTACATACTCTAACTTGAGCCTCACTATCCTTGTAAAAACTCTTCACTGCTTTCAGTAACCTACCTCCTACACCATACACCTGCAACATCTGCCACATTGCCCCCCTATCCACCCTGTCATACGCCTTTTCCAAATCCATAAATGCCACAAAGACCTCTTTAGCCTTATCTAAATACGGTTCACTTATATGTTTCACTGTAAACACCTGGTCCACACACCCCCTACCTTTCCTAAAGCCTCCTTGTTCATCTGCTATCCTATTCTCCGTCTTACTCTTAATTCTTTCAATAATAACTCTACCATACACTTTGCCAGGTATACTCAACAGACTTATCCCCCTATAATTTTTGCAATCTCTTTTATCCCCTTTGCCTTGTAATTATCAGAACATAAAAATTACATAAAATAATATGAAAAATAGAAAAAAAAGGTATATCGGCAACACTTCTGCAAGCGGCAGGGCTCTATGTTGCCGTCACATGAGCATCCAGTGCCAACTTCTCTGCCTCATATCTCTGTAAGTATTGACCCCAATTTTTTTTTTATTCTAAAACACTTAAAAAAAATGTGCTCTTTGTTTCTATAAAAAAAAAATTTTTTCTTCTTTTCAAAATATTCGGGGCGCTGCGGGAGTGAACGTATATATAAGTTTGGACCGTTTAAGGGTTATGAGTGCTGTTGAGGTTACAGGCAAAGCCCACTAATGAAACATAAGGAAATCCATAACTTTTCTTTTCATAGCAATATCAGGAACTTTTCCCTTAGAGGTCTTGTTACTTTTGTATTAATCAGAAGAAAACTATAACAGATATGACAAAATTTACAACAATAAAGAAGTCTTAGAATGAGTCGTCTATAACATACTAGAACAGCCAAATCTCTCCAGTGTGGGTGTGTACTTGCCCGATAAAGGGTTGAAAGAAAATACATGTTTCTTCTCACACCTCGAAAAAGCATGTAGCTAATGTGACCAGCAAGTACAAATAGAATATAGAAAAATGGTGTAGTGATCCCACTGCTATCATTACAATGATGAGAAATAAAGGAGTAATGTGAGTGTTATTTCCATTCAGTAAGTCTTACATTTATTCCATACATAAGTACAAGAAAACTTAAAAATTAAATACTACCATACAAACTAGGATTACAAAAAACAGGCAATAAGTAATCACAATTTGTATTTAAGTGAATAAAAACAGAAAACAAAATTAACATACATAATAGCCAAGATTAGATCTGAAAAAAAAAAAAGCAGGCAAAGAAGAATACCAACCTATGAAGCACAGCTAGACATAAAACCTCTGCCCACAGTTCAAGACAGTAAATACTGTAGGATTTATGCCCTTCTACTAAGTATAAACTTGCTAAACATCTGACTTGCTTACAGGACAACATCAAAGAAAGAGCAAAGAAATATGCAAATAGAGAAAATTAACATGAGTTAGACAAGTGCAAGAGCATCTGGTGAGTTTTTTTACAAGCACTTGTGACAAACTCAAGAATAAAGAGAAATGAGCAATAAAAAGAAGAAAATTCTTGCTACAGTCATAATTAATTTTTGAGTATGTTAACTAGAAGTTAAGATGAATAAATGAACAAGTGCTCCTTTGTTTAAAAATACTGCATCAACCAGCATATATGATGTATAAATAACACAGGCTGTCAACAGTTTACTAATTAGAAAAATCTGATCAATACATAATTATTCAAGATGGAAGAGACGAAGAGAAGAGCCAATGATTACATCAAATTTTCAAAGCTCTAATTAAATGTTAAAAAAAAAAAAAAAAAAAAAGGAAAGCAGGTTATGAAAATTAATTAAAAGAAAAGAATAAAGAAGCATGCGCACATGCCTTATTTTGATAATTTACAAAAAGTGACTCCACAATCAACGTTAACGGGAATAAATGAGAAAAAAAAAGTATGCTGACGCAAGAGAATAATGTGAAAATTCAGACATCTGTATCTAATGGGTTTACATATTTGTCATAAGAGGAGTCTGAGAAAATATAACTCACTATTTACGAGGAAGAATAGAAAGGTAGCAAGATCATAAGTGCCTTTGTGTAAACAGCATAAGAGATGATCAGAAAATGTACTTAATGACAGACAAGTGAAAGAAAATATTAGTTCTATAGAGGAAGCAGTAAATATGTCCAGCAACCAAAAATCCCTGGAGTTTCCGAATTAAATATGAGTAAGCAAAGAGCTATTGTTATAACAAATAAAGCAAATGACGATATACCAGTTATTATATTAATGCTACATAATTTAGTTACATACCAATAATTTTGCTGGCCTCTTGTGTATACATTGCATACACAATTATTTTCCTTTTCTACTCTTTTTCTTCATGCATCAATCTTTACTTTCCAAACTTAAGTACTATCACACCCCCGTTTATCAGTTACATTGTATAATGAAGGCAAATCATTAAATTTGAATATTACGTGCCTTTTGGAAAAGACCTGTAAAGGGGACCATGTACTGTATAACTTAATGAATGGCAATAATTTAATTTCTGGCCACCACAACTCTGCGGGAAAATCTCATTGTTAAATATATTCATCCCACCTCTCATCAAAATGTGACATTTTTACATCTCCCGTATTGTAACCACTCATGGAAGGCAGAACAACATGCAAAAGTTGTTATATACTTAATTTTCATTAAGCTTTTGGAATAACTAGAGCATATTACATCCTTGAGCAGTTAAGGTCATCTTAGGTCCTGAAAGCTTATAATAACACTGTGATAAGATTATATGAAAAGTGGGAAGTTACCTGAGGTGTTAAGTTCCTTAGGATGAGCCAGGTGGAGGGCAGCTGAGAGTTGGTCCAGGCTCCTGAAGCAGCAACGGCTGCAGCAGCAGCCGAATGTAAGGCACTGTTTGGGGGATTCCTATGCTGCTCTCCAGACCATGATGTTGATCTGCCAAGGGTCCCCCAAGACCCTCCTCCACTGACCACACCGCTATTCTTTTGAACACCCACACTACCAGCAATTAGCCCAGGTGGTGGGCCACGAAGCTTGTTCCCTGGGGCACCCCAAAGTTCTGAGGCCAAATTGCTGCTACCTTCATGGACAGTCTCGCTCCACGATGACCCACTCTTGCCATTGGTCCCACTGCTCAGCTTGCTGTCCCTGCCATTGGTATTTTTTTTTTTCTATGCTTTATTAACTCCTATTAATTTATTATATGCATTAACATGTAATTGACGTAAACTATGGAGAACACAATGAGAGTAAATTAATTTTGAAGGGGGCCAGAGTGTAATTATTCTGTGGGGCCAATATTTTGCAAAGCTGATATTCATTTCATGGCCAAAAATCTTAACACAATAACCTTCTCCCCTCATTTGAAAATGGTCCACTTAAGTTATCAACACCCCCACTGGGTCCAAAAGGACTTCATTCCATCTAGGCCCATATCAAAATTAGTTGGCATGGAAGTAAAAGTACAGGCATAGTATGGTAAATTTCAAGCAGAAATGTACACCGGAAGCTCCCTAATGAATAAATTTTGGCAGTGTGACAGAGGGACAAAAAGCAAAGTCACAAAGCACATTAAAATGAAGTCCATCTGAAGTTCAAGCTTTTAACATTTCATGCAAAAATATTAAATTAAGCTTCCAAATAAATGTGCTCTGACACAAGTGTGATATGGCAAGCCACACTAACATCAACATTTGATAATTCAATATACCAAGACCCAATTTTACTTGGAAAACCCATTTGGATGCTCATAAATTAAATTATAAAATGGTTAAATAGGTAGACACAGAAAGCATGTTCATACAGCACAATGAATAGTCAATTTAATAAGTAACTGACTAATCTGAAACAGGTTCATGCACCCTCCTTTTTCAATTATTATTCCTATAGAAAGCTATTTTGAGTTTCTTCTGTGTACAGTACTATATTATAAAGTCAAAATTTAGCAAAGACTGAAATAAGTAAAAATTTTATATTAAGAAAAATAGTAAAGAACATCAAAAGGACCATATGATTACCCTAGACTTATCCCTACTGTGGCTACCACAATACCCACACAATGACAAGATCTCTCAGATACACACGTGCTAAGTAACCATAAGTACTAACGTACCCTGACAGCGGAGAGTTGGTGGTGTGGTGGCCGGGTCCTGGGTTGAAGCTCCAGGTGTTGGAGGAAAGTGAAAGGGAGGTAAGATGGCTGGTCATGTCTGAAACAGTGTTGGTGGTCGGGGTCTTGCTGATAGATGACAACAACTCTGAGTCCTTAATACCCAAGGACAAAGGAGAACGTGTCACTGAACCCGGCGTTATATTTGGGTCATCCTCAATATTCTTCATCTGAAATTTAGTTGTTACTAAGTATATCTGTATATTTCAGTTTTGAAAATTTACCCATAAAGTTGAATACTGCATCTAGATCACGAATATATTCAAGAAACCAAGCCTAATTTACTTACTCTAAACCAATAATGATTCTAGCATCTGAAAATGTAACATCCATTTAACAAGATTCTCCACAATTAAACAATCATATCCTGACACAATAGAGGAGGCCCACTTCAGCTAATATGAAGCATACACAAGAGGGTATTGTTCCTCATCCAAAGAAGTACAAAGGATCTAAAAATAATAGCTTGAAACTGTATATCGCAGAGTAAGAAAACATGCAAGCCAAGAAATTTTATAAGGCAGAATTCTCAAGTTTAGCAACCTCAAAGAATATGTCAGCAATGTCATTGAGTAACTGTCCAAAAAAAAAAAAAAAGCCAACAACCTACCAAATTCAAGGTAGTCTGGAAAAAACTGCTCACACAAGCACTGTACCTCTTTTATGACATAAATAGACTAGTGCTTTGACTTAGACTCCCTTAAGTTTTTTTAACAATGAACTCCATGCACCCAACTGAGAGAATGTTTTCCATTACCTAAGTTAAACCTTTTTTTTTTTTTTTCTCTTTTAACATGTTAGCCATTTCCCACCAACGTAGGTTGACCCCAAAAGAAAGAAAACCCCAAAAAATGAAAGAAAGAAAAAAAAAATCATCATCATTCAACATTTTTACAATCACTCATAGATAATCCCTATCTTTGCAGAGGCACTCAGATACAACAACTTAGATGTCCCTCCAAACTGCCAATATCCCAAACCCCTCCTTTAAAGTTTCCCATTTCCAGGACTCAAGTCCGGCTAACCGGTTTCTTTGAATCCCTTCACAAAATATTACCCTGCTCACACGTCAGGTCCCAAAAGCCATTCATCTCCATTCACTCTCATTTAACACGCTCACACACACTTGCTGGAAGTCCAAGCCCCTCACTCACAAAACCTCCTTTACCCCCCCTTCCAACCTTTCCAGGGATGACCCCTAACCCAACTTCCTTCCCCTATAGATTTATACGTTCCCCAAGTCATTCTACTTTGCTCCGCTCTCCCTAAATGACCAAACCACCTCAACAGCACCTCTCCAGCCCTCTTGACTAATACTTTTAGTAACTCCACACCATCACTTAATTTCCACACTACGAATTCTCTACATAATATTTACACCACACATTGCACTTGGACACATCTCCACTGCCTCCAGCCCCAGCCTCGCTGTAGCATTTACAACCCGAACTTCACACCCATATAAGAGTGTTGGCGCCACTATACTCTCATACATTCCCATTTTTGCCTCCATGGATAAAGTTTTTTATCTCCATGGATAACGTTTTTTGTCTCCACAGATACCTCAACGCACCTCTCACCTTTTTTCCCTCATCACTTCTATGGTTAACTTCATCCTTCATAAATCCATCTGCTGACAAGTCAACTCCCAAATATCTGAAAACATTCACTTCTTCTATACTCCCTCCCTCCAATGTGACATCCAAATTTTCTTTATCTAAATTGTTTGATACGCTCACCACCTTACTCTTATCTATGTTCACTTTCAACTTTCTACCCTTACACACCCTCACAAACTCATCCACTAACCTTTGCAACTTTTCTTTAGAATCCCCCAAAAGAACAGAATCATCAGGAAAAATTAACTGTGTCAACCCCCATTTTGTATTTGATTCCCCACAATTTAACCCCAACCCTCTCCCCAACACACCAGCATTTACTTCTTGTACAACCCCATCTACAATTATGTTAAACACCCATGGTGACATTACACATCCCTGTCTAAGACCTACTTTTACTTGGAAGCAATCTCCCTCTCTCCTACACACCCTAACCTGACCATCACTATCCTCTTAAAAACTCTTAACAGCATTTAGTAATGTACTACCTATTCCAAACACTTGCAACATCTGCTACATTGCTCCTCTATCCACTCTTATCATATGCTTTTTCTAAATCCATATATGCAATGAAAACTTCCCTACCTTTATTTAAATACTGTTCACATATATGTTAGCAGATGGGTTTATGAAGGATGAAGTTAATCATAGAATTGATGAAGGAAAAAAGGTGAGTGGTGCATTGAGGTATCTGTGGAGACAAAAAACGTTATCCATGGACGCAAAGAAGGGAATGTACGAAAGTATAGTGGTACCAACACTTTTATGTGGGTGTGAAGCTTGGGTTGCAAATGCTTCAGCGAGGAGGCGGTTGGAGTCAGTGGAAATGTCCTGTCTAAGGGCAATGTGTGGTGTAAATATTATGCAGAGAATTCAGTGTGTGGAAATTAGGAGGAGGTGTGGAGTTACTAAAAGTATTAGTCAGAGGGCTGAAGAGGGGTTGTTGAGGCAGTTTGGTCATTTAGAGAGAATGGAGCAAATTAGAATGACTTGGAGAGCATATAAATCTGTAAGGGAAGGAAGGTGGGGTAGGGGTCCTCCTCGAAAAGGTTGAAGAGAGGGGGTAAAAAAGGGTTTTGTGGGCAAGGGGCTTGGACTTCCAGCAAGCACGTGTGAGCGTGTTAGATAGGAGTGAATGGAGACGAATGGCTTTTGGGACCTAACGAGCTGTTTGAGTGAGAGCAGGGTAATATTTAGTGAAGGGATTCAGGGAAACCAGTTACTTTTATATAGCCGGATTTGAGTACTGTAAATGGGAATTACAATGCCTGCACTTTAACCCTTAAATTGTCCAAGCAGATCTATGTTCACATGCATAGTGCTGCAAAAGTAGTTTTCCTTTTTTTTACTTATTTTCAAATATAAAAAAAAAAATCCAAGTTTTTTTTTTACACATTTTCAAATGCAAAAAAGAAAAGAAAATCTACTTTTTTTTACATATTTTCAAATGTTGAAAAAACGTAGATCTACGTTTGGACAGTTTAAGGGTTAAAGGAGGGGCTTGGAATATTGGCAGTTTGGAGGGATATGTTATATATGCTTCTAAACTGATGCATCTGGGAGCCTCTGCAAAGACAGTCATTATGTGTGAGTGAGGTGAAAGTGTTGAATGATGATGAAAGTATTTTCTTTTTGGGAATTTTCTTTCTTCTTGGGTCACCCTGCCTCGGTGGGAGACGTCAGACTTGTTGAAAAAAAATATATACATATGCTTCAAAGTAAACACCTGATCTATACATCCCTTACCAATTCTAAAGCCTCGCTGTTCATCTGCAATCCTGCTCTCTGTCTTATCTCTAATTCTTTCAATAATAACGCTACCATACACTTTACCTGGTATACTCAGTAAACTTGTTCTCCCATAATTTTTACAATCTCTTTTGTCCCCCCTTCCCCTCTTTCATACATTTATTAAACAAAAATACTAACCACTTCAACACTATATCTCCCCCTGCTTTTAACATTTGTCATAATCCCATCAGTTCCAGCTGCTTTACCACCTCTCATTCTATGTAATGCCTCACACACCTTCCCCACACTCAAAACATGCTCTTCTTCACTCCTAAAAGATGTTATACCTTCCTGGTCAGTCCATGAAATTACTGCCTCCCTTTCTTCATCGACATTTAAAAGTTCCTCAAAATATTCTCGCCATCTACCCAATACCTCCAGCATCAGTGAGGTCAAAAGATCAGTGCCCCAAGGCACTGTCCTGGCACCTATGCTGTCTCTCATCCTCATAGCAGACATAGATAAAAACACCTGGCACACTCTTTATCATCATTTACAGATTACAATACAATAAGCATGAAAGTCACTAAGGTAGAGGACACTGAAAAAGTACAGAAAGACATAAACAGGGTCTTCCAGTGGGCAGTGGAAAACAACATGATGTTCAATGGTGATAAGTTCCAGCTGCTTATCTATGGAAAGAATGAAGAAATCAAAAGGAACACTACATACAAAACTCAAGAGGGTCACCAAATAGAATGTAAGGAACACGTAAAAGACCTAGGAATAATTATGTCAACTGACCTTTCTTTTAGAGACCATAACAAGACAAAGATCACGACAGCCAGGAAGATGATGGGGTGGGTACTGAGAACTTTCAAAACAAGGGAAATAATGCCGATGGTGACACCCTTCAAATCACTAGTGCTCCCTCACTTAGAATATTGCTCAGTGCTGACGGGTGCATTCAAAGCAGGATAAATATCGGAGCTAGAACAAATACAGAGATCGTTTACGGCTCACACTAAGCCAGTAAAACACCTAAACTACTGGAAATGCCTTCAAGTCTTGAATATGTACAACATAACAACATACTGGAGTGAGGGATATGGGAGGAAGTGTAAAATAAACCTAGTGAGGAGCAGGGGTGTGGTGAGGACAATAAGGGAACATAGTATCAACAGCTGGGGTCCCAGACTTAAACATCTTGCCAGAAAATATCAAACATGGTTGGAACAAGTGTAGAAGCCTTCAAGAGGAAACTGGACAAGTATCTTCACCAGGTGCCAGATCAACTAGGCTGTGATGGATGTGAGGCAGCAGGCCTCCAGCAGCAACAGCCTGGTTGACCAGGGAAGTACCAGATGAGCCTGGCCCATGGCCGGGCTCAGAGAGTAGATACTCTCAAGACTCTTCAAAGGTATATCAAAGGTATATCCCCATCTACTAACTCCCCTACTCTGTTTTTAACTGACAAAATCCATTTGTTCCTTGGGTTTTCTTATCTCCAAAAATTTTTCTTATTCTCAGCAAAATTTCTTGACAGTGCCTCTCCCACTCTATCATTTGCTCTCCTTCTGCACTCTCTCACCACTCTTCATCTTTCTTTTAGTCTCCATATACTCTGCCCTTCTTATATCACTTCTGCTTTGTAAAAACCTCTCATAAGCTACCTTTTTCTCTTTTATTGCACCCTTTACCTTATCATTCCACCAATCACTCCTCTTTCCTCCTGCACCCACTCTCCTATAGCCACAAACTTCTGCCCCACATTCTAATACTGCATTTTTAAAACTATCCCATCTCTCTTCAACCCACCCCACTACCCATACTTGCACTACCCCACCTTCCTGCCAATGGTTGCTTATATCTCACCTTAACTTCCTCCTCCCTCCTAAGTAGCTACAACTAAACAATGATCTGATAAATCTAACGACTCTCTAAAAACATGCTGAAGTCTACTCATCAACCTTTCAATCTTTGTCAGTTAGCTTTCATGAATGCACAATTGAAGTTATTTTATGTGCAATATGCAAACCTGTTTTCATTCACCACTCTCAAATGATAACATTACAGAATTAAATGCATCATTACTACTTTTAAAAGTACTCAATTACATCTATATAAATAGACACATAAACTCATCCAGTACAATATTTAATCTCAAAGGATTATGGCCAACAATTCATTTTAAGGGTTTTGGTACAATGCCTATATTTTTTCTTATTTTCTTAACATACAAGCCATCTACCATTGATGTGAGGTGACCAAAAAAGGAACATGTTCACTGTCACTCATTCATTGTCAGAAGTGTGATGACATCACAGCACAGATGGAACTCCAAACTGCAACATGTCTATCATTTCTTCAGAGTGCAGGCACTGTTCTTTCCACCTCCAGAATTCAAGTCCATCCAACCAGTTTCCCTGAATTCCTTCATAAATGTTACCTTGCTTACACTCCAACAGCATGTCAAGTCATACAAGCCACTTGACTACACTTACTCCTAACACACACACACACACACACACAACACACACAACACACACACACACACACACACACACACACACCACACACACACACACACACACACACACACACGCACGCGCACTCACACACGCATGTGCACGCACACACGCATGCACACGCAAACACACATGCAGACATGCGCGCGTGCACACACACACATGCACAAACACACATGCATAAACACACAAGCACAAACACACACACACACACACAAGCATGCACAAACACACAAGCACACACACACACACACACACACACACACACACACACACACACACACACCCCTGTCGGATGTCCAAGCCCTTCGCACTCAAAACCTACTTTACTCCCTATCTCCAACCTTTCCTAGAACAATCTCTGCCCAATTTATACACCCACCTAATAATCCTATTTTGCTCTATCTTCTCAATGTCCAAACCACCTCAAAAAACCCTCCTCAGCCCTCTGAATAATACTTTAGGAAACCCTACACCTTGTAATCTCCAAGCTTATAATTCTCTGAATACTGACATCATCACACTGTCCTTCAATGCACTTTCAGTGCCTCCAGCCTCCTCACTACAATGTTTAAAACACATGCCCCACACCAAGACAATAGTACTGTTTTCATTATGGTACATTCCCCCCCCCCCTTTTTTTGTCTTCCATGAATAAAGTTCTAAATCTCCACAGATGCTTCAATTTACTACCCACCTTTTCCCCTCATCAATTCCATAGGTCACCTTATTTTTCAAAGCCCACTTGCCGACAAGTCCATTCCCAAATACATGAACACATTTACTCCCTCCATACCCCCTTCCCTCCTATCAGTTATCCAACCTTTCACTGCCGAGACTTTTTTGTTACTCTCATCCACTTGCTCTTTCATACGTTTCCTTTCATTTCCTGCTTTTTTATACTCTCCCAAATTCCTCCACCAACCTTTGCAACTTTTCTTCCCAATCTTCCAAAAGAACTGTATCACTGCCAAAAAGCATCTGTGATACCTCCCACTTTTTATCAAATTCTCTTGTTAAATCCCACACCTCTCCCCAACACACTAGCATTCACTTTTTTTTTACAACCCCTAACTATAAATGTCAAACTATGGTGATATCACACATCACTGTCTAAGGCCTACTTTTAATGGACAAGAAGCCCCCTCTCTCCTACACACTAACCTGAGCACCAACATTCACATACAACACTTTCTGCTTTTAACAACTTACCACTTATTCTATATATTTGCAACATCAGCCACATTGCCCCTCTATCCACCCTATCACATGCCATATCTATATTAGCTACAATTTTGAAATCTGTGATATTAAAATCTTAATTTTCATACTGCCATGGAATCAAACATTGAAAATGCAAAAAGTTTGAAAAAGGGATGGAACATTTTATTGCAGATACTCATTTATTTAACAAATTGATTATATATAACTTGTGGTAGATTTTATAATATAAGAACATAAGAAAGAAGGAACACTGCAACAGGCCCACTGACCCATCCGGAGCAGGTCCATGCCCCCCCCCCCCCCCCCCCCCCCCCCCCGATTAGCCCAATGATCCACCCAGTCTGGTCACCTCCACTCAAGGATGGAGCACGGCACCAGACCCAGCAGCACAAGCTAGTCAGGTCCAACTCACACCCACCCACACCCACTCATGTATTTATCTAACTTATTTTTAAAACTACACAATGTTTTAGCCTGAATAACTGTACTTGGGAGTTTGTTCCACTCATCCACGACTCCATTACCAAACCAGTGCTTTCCTGTATCCTTCCTGAATCTGAATTTTTCCAACTTGAAACCACTGCTGCGAGTCCTGTCTTGGCTGCAATGGTTTCAAGTTGGAAAAATTCAGATTCAGGAAGGATATAGGAAAGCACTGGTAATTTTATATCACAAACTAGTAGGCAATTTTAGTACTGAAGAAAAAACAGCAAACTACCTATTACTAGCCTTCTAATTCACAATGTACTTCAAATTTGTTACATACCATCCATGGTTTTCCTGGTTCAAAAGGCTTAATGTCAAGGCCATATGACCCTGAGGCATTGGTCTGTGAGGAAGCAGCCCATTGTGAGTCCATATTTGGGACTCCTTTGTCACCAGTAGTGTTATCATTGCCACCACTGCTACTTTCAGGCCATCCAGTCTCAGAGGTGCGATTTAGAGACCAGGTGCTGTAATCAACATACATCTATATTAGCCATCCTAATAAAAATTCAATGATAAACTTACACGAGGCTCAACTTGACATAATATAGCTCCAAAAACTTTAATAGAAACATCTACAGGTCTCCCTCAGCATTCGTGCTTTCAACTTTCGCGGGCTTCACACATTTGCGAATTCCCAGCCGCCAAATCATATTTATGTTGAAGACTCTGAAGTCTATGAACGACACTGATGAGGCATAATACCCTACAAAACTCATTTGTAGATATGAAGAAATGGTCTCAGTTGCCCATCACAATGTTCTTCACAAGAAAGCCTGCCACTACAGTCCCCATCCCTTTACCCAAGGTCCTATTGATGCTAAAACCTTGGGTAGTTTCTATTTAATCACGTGCTAAAACCTTGGGTAGTTTAAAAATTGGGTTGGATAAATACATGAGTGAGAGAGGTTGGACTTGAGTGGGATTTGCACGTGAGTAAATAGAATTGTCAAAGCTTATTGCTTGGGTAGCACTGAAAATTGAGTTGGGAAAATATTGTTAGTGTAAACAAATGGTATAAAATACCAACACAATGGAAATATAAACACACATGCAGTATAATGTGATCCTTTACTGACAACGTTTCGCCCACACAGTGGGCTTTATCAAGTCACAAACAGATCTACCTGGGTGGAAGGTACGTGAGTATTTACAGGATGAAGTCAGGTTGAGAATGCTGCATGTGACGATCTGCTGAGTGGGGTTATAAAGTCTAATATCTTGGGTAGCTTGAAAGAAAGATTGGATAAGTAAATGAGTAGACCTTCTGCAGTGTTCCTCCATTCTTATGTGGGATAGCGATGAAGAACTTTCTTGGCTTCTATAACACAGATGAACCCCTTGCCAAGAAACTTCTTCATCGCTATCCCACATAAGAATTGAAGAACATTGCAGAAGATCTACTCAAATACTTATCCAATCTCTCTTCCAAGCTACCCAAGGTACTAGACTCTATAACCCTACTCGGTAGATCATCACATGCAGCATTCTCAACCTGACTTCATCCTATAAATACTCACGTACCTTCCACCCAGGCAGATCTGTTTGTGACTTGATAAAGTCCACTGTGTGGGTGAAACGTTGTCAATAAAGGATCACATTATTCTGCATGTGTGTTTATATTTCCATTCTGTTAGTGTGATGGATTTTGAAGGACCTGCCTACTATGGGCCAACAGGCCCATAGTAGGCAGGTCTGCTAGACGTCCTTAACTGCCTATATAAGCGCCAGTCTCTTTGCCTGTGCTCCTTAGCTGCTGGGTCAAGCCCTGGTTCTATTTCTACAACTAAGAACACTCCTCTCCAGCGCTATTCTTCGTCTGTCTCATCTTCCCTGCTCATTCCATTGGGGTCTTACCTGCACTTGGTCGTTCGTTCATTCGCCTGTGCTCCAGAATCTCTACGACCACGGTGCTCTCTGCACCAACTCCAAGGCTGAGGGACTGATTACCCCATCTTTTGCATATAATTCTACTGTCTTCTAGTTATGTCCTAGAATCTATATTGATAAAGCCACTGGATTGTGAAACGTCTACAATAAAGATAGCCAGATGTTGCACATGTGTCTTAACTTTCATTTTGTTGGTATTGTATACCTTTCTTGCACAACAGGCCTACTGCAGTGTTCCTCCTTTCTTATGTTCATCTTATAACCATACTAGGCAGACTGTTCCACTTATCAACATAAGAACAAAAGAAAGGAGGAACACTGCAGCAGGCCTGTTGGCCCATACTAGTCAGGTCCTTCACAATCCATCCCACTAGCAGAATATTTGCTCACCCCAATTTTCAATGCTACCCAAGCAATAAGAACGTCTCTTCTGCTTCTATCAACTTTTCTGTACTCGACTGAAAAAGCCTACTGTGTAGGCAAAATGTTTTGAAAAAAAAAAGACACCTAACTGTTGTATATGTGTCTTACCTAACAACCTGTCGGTATTTTATACCATTTTAATATTCAATAAGAACATAACACAGGTGGAACACTGCAGTAGGCCTGTTGGCCTATACTTGGCAGGTCCTTCACAAATCCAACCGACTAACAGAATAAACGCTACCCAAGCACTAAGCTTTGACAATTCTATTTACTCACGTGCAAGTCCCACTCAAATCCAACCCCTCTCACTCATGTATTTATCCAACCTAAATTTGAAACTACCTAAGATTTTAGCTTCGATAGGACCTTGAGTGGCTTTAACCCTTTGACTGTCGCGGTCGTATATATATACATCTTACGAGGTACCGTGTTTAACGTATATATACTCATAAATTCTAGTGGCTTCAAATCAAGCAGGAGAAAGCTGGTAGGCCCACATGTGAGAGAATGGGTCTGTGTGGTCAGTGTGCACCATATAAAAAAATCCTGGAGCACGCAGTGCATAATGAGGAAAAAAAAAACTCTGACCATTTTTTTTAATTAAAATGCCGACTTTGTGGTCTATTTTCGAATAGTATTTATAGTTGTATTCTCGTTTTCTTGGTCTCATTTGATAGAATGGAAAACATGTTATAGAAATAGAGGTGATTTTGATTGATTTTACTATAAAAAAGAACCTGGAAATGGAGCTCAAAGTAGGGGAAATGTTTGATTTTTGCCGATGTTCAAAAGTAAACAAATGATGCCATTGTTCAATAAATGTCCAACTAGCCATTCTAATATGCAGCCATGAATGGGTTGACATTACAGTGGACCCCCGCATAACGATTACCTCCGAATGCGACCAATTATGTAAGTGTATTTATGTAAGTGCGTTTGTACGTGTATGTTTGGGGGTCTGAAATGGACTAATCTACTTCACAATATTTCTTATGGGAAAAAATTCGGTCAGTACTGGCACCTGAACATACTTCTGGAGTGAAAAAATATCGTTAACCGGGGGTCCACTGTATTTATACAATTATTACAATATTGCAGTAGTCTGCATAACAGTAAATCCTCTATTTTTTGTTAGAATAAAAATTCAAAATAGAAAGCAAGAGTAATATCAGAGGGGCCTGGAAACGTGACTGATGAACAAAGAAAATTTTATTTTAGAGCCAGGAATGTCTGCATTGTTCATTCTGGACCTTATTTTGAAATTGTCATATTTTTAAATTTTCGTGAAATTGGCCAAATTGCAAATTTCTGAGCACGTTATTGGGTAGTTGAAATTGGTAAATGGGCAGTTTCTTGTACTCAATCGATAAAAAAAACGGAGTTCTAAAGAAATAGCTATGAGTTTGGTCGACTGGAACAATGGAATTAGCCGAAAATAGGGCTCAAGGTGGGCGAAATCGCAGATTTGTAAATATCGTCGAGGTCGCTAACTTCGCGAGAGCGTAATTCCGTCAGTTTTCCATCAAATTTCGTGTTTTTGGTGTCATCACAATCAGAAAAATATTCTCTATCATTTCATCAGAAAAGTAACTTTTTTTTTTTTTTAATTTTGCAACACCAGGAGACACCTCAGGATTGGGGGTTGCGACAGTCAAAGGGTTAAAGAGAGACTGGACAAATATACGAGTGGGAGGAGCATGTATTTATATATACAATACAATGTTTTCATATTTTTTATGATAGTTCATGGTCAATAGGTTAACCCCTTGACTGTCGCAACCCCCAATCCTGAGGTGTCTCCTGGTGTCGCAAAATTAAAAAAAAAAAAAAAAAAAAAAAACTATTTTTTCTTATGAAATGATAGAGAATCTTTTCCCGATTGTAATGACACCAAAAATCGAAATTTGATGGAAAACTGACAGAATTATGCTCTCGCGAAGTTAGCGACCTTGGCGATATTTACAAATCGGCGATTTCACCCACTTTGAGCCTTATTTTCGCCTAATTCCATTGTTCCAGTCGACTAAACTCATAGCTATTTCTTTAGAACTCCGTTTTATCTATCGATTGAGTACAAGAAACTGCCCCTTTACCAATTTCAACTACCCAATAACGTGGTCAGAAATTTGCAATTTGGCCAATTTCATGAAAATTAAAAAATATGACAATTTCAAAATAAGGTCCAGAATGAACAATGCAGATATTCCTGGCTCTAAAATAACATTTTCTTTGTTCATCAGTCACATCTCCAGGCCCCTCTGATATTACTCTTGCTTTTTATTTTGAATTTTTATTCAAACAAAAAATAGAAGATTTACTATTATGCAGACTACTCCAATACTGTAATAATTGTATAAATAACATCAACCCATTCATGATTGCATATTAGAATGGCTAGTTGGACATTTATTGGACAATGATGTCATTTGTTTATTTTTGAACATCGGCAAAAATCAAACATTTCCCCTACTTTGAGCTCCATTTCCAGGTTCTTTTTATAGTAAAATCAATCAAAATCATCTCTTTTTCCATAATATGTTTTCCATTCTATCAAATGAGACCAAGAAAACGAGAATACAACCATAAATACTATACGAAAATAGACCACAAATTCGGCATTTTAATTAAAAAAAAAACGGTCAGTTTTTTTTTTCTCATTATGCACTGCGTGCTCCAGGATTTTTTTTATGTGGTGCACACTGACCACACAGACCAATTCTCTCACATGTGGGCCTACCAGCTTTCTCCTCCTTGATTTGAAGCTGCTAGAATTTATGAGTATATATACGTCAAACACGGTACCTCGTAAGACGTACATATACGGCCGCGACAGTCGAAGGGTTAAGGAAGCAGTATTGTATTAGATTTCCCTACAATATATTGGGACACCAAACGTTCATGATTTTTCAACATGCGTGAGGCTCTTGATCCCCTAACCCTCGCAAATGTTGAGGGAGACCTGTATATTCTACTTAAACATTAAGCTGCATTTCCTCTTGTTAAAGTAAGCTGGTGACTGCAAGGAATAATGGGCAAAAACATAAACAAGAAGATTACTACAGTGTGAAATCATAAAAATTACAGAGCTAGATAGTCCTGGGTAGCAAACTAACTGCTGACAAGTGAATTACATTAAATTCAAGGTTATATC